GTGAATTTTTATTTTGATGCAGTTGCAACGGCGAAATGAAAAATCACTCGTTGTCACTCGCCCGACGGTCTGATCTTTTGATTGGTTGCAAGACGTCATCGGGGGCCAGGAGGAACCGCCGGAACTGTCGTGAGCGTAGAGGAGAGTATATAGCGCATTATTAGAGAGTATGTAAATAGTAGGATCGATGGCCCGAATACAGACGATAGAGTAGGGAGGTAGAGTAAGGAAGTATGGCGGTATGGATTGTAGCCTAGTCGTTCGTTCTGGAAGTCGCTGGAGTTGGTGTGATGAGCCTGGTCTGGTTTTGAATTGGACCGAGTGATAATTGGTGATTCTGTGGTTCGTGGATTCGCGGGTTCGTGGGTTCGTGGGGTTGTAGTCACTCAATGCCAGAACTAGAGGGGATGATCTTGAGACTATGGGAAATACATGACCAACAGGCTCTAGGGAATTTCTAGCTTGAGACTTATTGACATTTTCTAGGTTGGTATAAGTGTCTTGGTCTGGGAGGGGTAGTTTGTCGTTGTGCTGGTAGGATGGCTATAGTTGGAAGCAGAGCTAGGCAATGTTGCGCCATACAAAGCACTGCTCTCTTTAGGGGAGAAGCTGGGATACAGGAGATAGTAGGAGATAGTTTGTGAGTTCGTGGATACATCTCTTGCAGTCTTACGAAAACCGAAAAGTTTCTGTTACCTTTGACCTTGGCTGCTCAGTGAGCATCCTAGTGGATAAATGACTTCTGAAAATCAAAAACTACCCTTACTATGAGTACTACCGGTTAAAAACCGCCCACACCACAACGCTTGCCAACGTTAATTTAAACACCACATCACATGGCCCTGGAGTACGCTCACATCAACACTTCTTGGCCCACTGCTATAAATGCTCCAACCCCACTCCTCTGGCACTTCCCCAGGCGAGTTCCTTCTCCCTCCCCCTTGTAAAACGTAGAAAGGGGACTCCGCCTCCATCACCCTGCCTCTCTTCGTTTCTGGGCTTTGCCGAGGGACTTAAAGAAGCAATTCCTAGCTTTTATTCCTCATTAGCTATACATGTCTATTCCTTGTTGGCTATCCCTGTTCCTCATCGACTCTCTTTGTCCCTCTTCAGATTCTTCTTTTCCTTTTTTGGCTCCCTGTTCCTGTTGGCTCTCTCTGTTCCTCGTTGGCTCTTCCTGCCCCTGTCCCTGTCCCGCATTCTCTCCTTACTCCCCTCCCTCCCTCACTCCCCCAACCTGTAGATCAACTCTCATCACTACTCCCTTAGTTTAAACTGTAGAAAGCGATATTAGCCGAACACTCGCAGTCTTGGTGCCACACACACAAGGGAGAATTTAACGAGTGATATTTCATGAGCCAAGACCAAACACTGGCTGAACGGATACTAAGCCATTCAGGAGCGCATTAGTGTTAGATCATCTCTTGATGGTTTATAAGAAGTGTTTTCGTGTAGTAGATATGTTGGCTGGTGGTATATCGCTGCCATTTTAGATAGATATCGTGTGAAGGATGCTGGCGTTAGAAGCGTTCAGTAGGATGCTCAGATCAAATCTAAAGCGCGGGAAAGAGGAATAAAGCATAATTTGGGACTAACGTTGGGTCAATTGCAAGAGATAACAGCTACCTGTAGTTATAGGTGGTCACAACTAATTAAGTAACCACACGTTGTTGTCGTCAGAAACCGCGGCAATTATATATATAAAGAAGGAGACCCGCAAACCTCCCAATCATCTCACATACAAACGATTCAAGTAATTCCTACACTGTTTTTGACGTTCCACCACCCGAGGTGCATACATCTACCAAGCCTTTGGGAGCTAGCGCTAATGCCGAGACCAAGCACATTATAGAGCAACCTCCAGGCATCGACGTCCAAAGAAACCAGCTTTAGCATTGGGTTGGCTTGAGTAACAGCAACTTCTGGCCCTTGAAGGAGGATTGATAAGGCCACCACTCCGCAGGTGCTTCAACGGTACCAAGTCAAGAACCTTACTGGAAACTAAAAAAACATACTAGTGTTCCCCATGAGACGAGCCTGCCCGAGACTTTTATCAATTCTGCTCGAGCCTGTCCCGAGCCCGCCAAGAATTGGCAATAGTGGGGAATACTATGCTATATTTGTATTAGTTTTAGCCAAGCAGAACCTCTTTGTCGTGACTACTTCAACCATCCCTAACCGTGGGCTCTCAACTAATGATAGTACTAATTCGGAACTATAGACATTTCTAGCCTTCAAATCCTTGCTAAACAACGGCCTGGCATCGACTTCTAATGCCTCTGTAGGATCTCTCAACATATGCTATCACTCGGAAAAGCTCGAACAGGCTCGAATCTTGTGAGCCTGGGCTCATAAAATGAGACGAGGCGAGCCCACCACCCCATGAGACAAGGCGCGACGAGCCTATGCCCTGGGCTCGTCTCGTCTTGTCTCATGGGGAACACTACATACAACGATAAGCCATTGAGCTGATCTCATCAACGGACACTCGAAACTAGGAGTGTTCATACGTAGCCAACACATTCGAGATCGAGATCTTGTGGCCCTTCCGCATCCTCGTTGGGTCCTATTTGCATCTCCGATCTAACCGACATCAGGATTAAGACCCAAGCCTGGTATGAAGGGGTGGAAAGGGGATATGAAACCGGTCGAAACAGGTATTTGTCTTCTCTATAATATCTTATTATAGAGAGGGGCTTTCAAACTTGCATCTCCACGGAAAGATTGACCGTTCACCTGCAAGTGAAGAATACAACTGGGGTGCTAGCGTTCTCAAGTGGGACAGATCTAGAGTAACCACACCATCCGCCACATGGGACACATACCTATAGCTACCTCTCACACAAGAAACAATACCAGTACCACTCTCATCAATCTTACAACCGCAATTCAAAATCAAATATCGTTCATATTATACTTCCCTGGCGAACAGTGATAATCTGGTCCATTCTCCTCAGGTTCGCACTGCAACACCAAAGAAACCAGAGATACAAGTGACAGCAATACTCTACAATCACTCTCAGGTAGACCGAATGAAAAAGGAAGTCGATGAGTAGAACAGTAACAGAGAACAGTACGAATTTGAAAAATAGGCATGGTATCGTCACAGAGAAGATTAAGCAATGCTAATCATAGAAAATAAAGACTACATGCGTAAATAAATAAATCAACCGTAGCAATAGGGCACATAAAACGTCAACTTGAGACAAGTTAACTCCAATTTTAGAGTTGGGAGCCAGGAGTCAAAATTCCGTTACTGTGAGATGCAGGGAATATACCCCTTGATGCGCCGAAGCTACTTAGTAGCTGCCTACTGTTGCTAGAGAGCGTATCTCGCGCGTCTAAGCGGTCCACTTTGTGGCTTTGAGCTTCTCGCTGCGGTCGGATTCGTAAGCCATTCAGAAGGATTTTTCCCCGCGGAGTTTAATATCGCTCCGATATATAGTAAGCACCTTAATATACAACCAGAGAAAACAAAACTAAACATATACCGAGCATCGGTACGGTTGCGGTACCGCAACAGAGAGATAGTTAGATTCGACTGCAGCCCAGCGCCCCGCCATAGGCATGCATAATCCAAGTACCAGGCTATGGGGCTATACGGGCCATATCAACTATGACCGGGATTCGAATACAGTCATGTCTGCCTAGCTAGGTGACTTTCTCAGCCAGATATGGACTGAGTATATATATATCGAATGGTTCAAAACATCTATTATCCAGCAAGCACCACATGGATCCGAGCTAAGACCTCTCGAGACCATTCGAGCTCCAGACCTCACGTCATAAACACATTATCGAAAAAAACCCTACCCATAACACCGCTGCCCATCTCACCAGTCAACCACACCAACCATAGATACATGAGCAAATCGGGCGCAAAATTCGGCTACAACGGCTTTGCCCACCATAGGCCAGCACACATCCAATGAGTCCACGCTTTTTAAGAGAGGGCATCGACATGTAAGTGCATGTCAATCGTTGACCAAGTGTCACCGAACGGTTGACTCAACGACTACGACCTACCGACCGAGTGACACTCCATGATGCCTAGTGCCCCATTAGCGCCGCTCACCTGCTGTATTGCCTACAGACCGCATTCCTAGGATCCTATGTTTCTCTTCTCGTAGGTACTCGTAGAACTTCCATACCATGCCCGTTGCAATTGTACATACATACCAATTACACCGAGTAGGCGAGAACTACATGTAGCTCCGCGCAAGCTACATAATCATCCCCTATGATAGAGAGCCCTTAACTGCTTCCCCCGTTCATGCAGCTGAGTAATACTTTACCCACCAGCCCACATGAGTATACGTAGGTGCACTACATGATAACCCTGCAGACAAAACCCGCCCCAACCAAAACCAAAGCCAAACCAAAGCCAAACCCCAGCAAGGGGTCCCCGGCTAGCGTACACACCAAGCTTTTGCTGGGCGATTTTAGTTTTTTCTTCTTTTTTTGTGGAATGGGGGGGGGGAGGGTTACAGATGGCCCGTTTTGTGTGCGTGTGTTACGTAGATAGGCGGGGAGGCGGCAGAGGAAGGAGAGGAAGGAGGGATGGATGGATGGATGGGGGAAGAGTGGGGAGGATGGGGATGGGAGGGCTTTATCTACATACGTGTGTGCATACTCGCAACTACATCATACATACGATCTCGCTCTCGCCCTCGCCCTCGCTCGCTGGAGATTACACCAGATCTTCGTACATCACTCGGTGTCCTGTCCATGGGCCATTGACAGACAGCGAGACAGCCAGACAACCAGACAGCCAGAAAGCCAGATCTAGATAGAAAGACAGATCCTGCCATACACTCACTACACAAGAGCTAGCTCGCGGACCTGTCTCTGGTGAATCACGGGATCTACAATACATACCTCACACCTCACACCTCACATACCTCACACCTCACACCTCACATACCTCACCTCACCTCACCTCACCTCACCTCACATATCTCAACCTCACACCAGACAACAGACCCACAACCAATGCTCCAATGCCCCCACTAACAACCCCCCCACCACCACCTACAACGCCCCTCCACCGCAGGGCCATTGACACCGGCCCCGACCCCGACCTAGACCCCGGCCCCGGCCCCGGCCCCGACGACGGCGACGACCCCACCGCCTCAAACCTCGTCAACATGTACTTCCTGATCCTGGCGCTGTTTGCGGTGCTGCTCGTGTGCACGCTGTGGTACTGGCGGCGCAGCAAGCGCAGGGAGGCGCTTGCGTCGCTGGGCGTGCGGCAGACGGCGCTCGTGGCGGATCTGGAGATGCGCAGGAGGCGGGGGGATGATGGTGGTGGTGGGGGGGAGGAGGGGGAGGGGGAGGCGCCGCCGCCCTATGTGACGAGGCCGGAGAGGGCCGCTGGGGGGTTGCCGAAATATGAGGAGGTTGTTGGTAATGAGGTGGAGAGGAGGAGTGTCGGTGAAGTGGGAGCGGGAGGGGAGGTGGTCCGGGAGCGGAGGGAGGATAGTGAGGATAGTGGTGGTGGTGGGTTGGGTGCTGGTGGTGGTGGAGGGACGGAGGGAGTGGGAGACCGAGAGGGAGAGCGTGGGGTCTCTGTTGCGGTACCGCCGCCTGTTCATTAAGGATTGATTACAATACCTTATTGTTCCGTCTTTTCTTTTGTAATTTCATTTCTTTCATTTTCTTTTTTTTTAAATTGGTGTTTGTTGGATTTGGTTTGCGGGTTGGGTTGGTTGGTTGGTTTTTGTTTGCACTTTCATTACCTCCATACATATATTTTCTTTGGGAAGGGAAGAGGGAAGATTGCGATCTCGTTTTCGTGTATTTTTTATGGCTTTGTGTTTTGTTTCATAACTCTACATAGGTATACTTACAAAAAGGTTGGTAATCTGGCATGGCCCGGCACGGCATGGGGGATTAATTGATTCATGAAATTGTTTCTTGTTTCTTGTTGTTTTTGATGGAAGCGCTTATTCTTATTGACGAAGCTGGAATGTTTGATGAACGGTACTTAATATAGCCATTGGGGCTTGAATAGAAATAGATAACCTGTAAGGATAGCTTAGTAGTTAGTGGTGGTTGTGGTTGCGATAATGATGATTATGGGCCCGGTGCAACACGGAATCTGATACTCATCCTCATCTTCATAGTCGCCCTCGTATTTGGCCGTGATTCATCAAGATCGCGAGATTTCGATCCTCCAACCTTTCACGTCTTCACGTGTGTCTCACACTCCGCGAATGAACATCGTGCGCGGCTCTGCTCATCCCTGCTGAAAGAGCGCCAACAGACAGCCCAGCCAACTGTTATTTACCTCGGCAGCAGTGCTCGGCTTCGTGTCTGCCTGCTGTCAAGTCTCTCTCTCTGTGTTGCCTACCTTACTATCTGCTTGCTTTATATTAGCTAACCCCCCCCCCCCCCCCATTATCTATCCCCCTCGGTCTCACGTTTTTTAACCCACCCTCTCCCATATATTCCCCATACTTTTAACATGTGGCGCTACCCCCGAACCCTCGGAGTACAATCCCCACCCCGTCACCTCCACCACCAGCAGCAACAGCAACAGGTAAACTCCCCCCATTCACCAGCACCTCCATCTTCGAGAACTACCAACCTCCACGACCACGACCACGACCACGACCACGAGGATATGTCGCCCCAGAAGAACACACGCTCGATGAGCCCTGCGTCTCTGGCGATGCCACCGCCCCCACCGCCAAAGCCCAAGAGCGTCACGATGGAGGAGGCCCCGAGTTTGCACCACAAGACCAGCAGCAAGCCCGTCATGACACCTCCGGAGGCATATGCCAATTACAGACATTTCAATGTCACCATTCCAGCTCCGGGGGTCGCCCATGTCGAGATTAATAGGCCCGAGAAACTTAATGCGTTTTATAAGCTGTATGTTGTTGCGTTATATATTGAGTCTCTACTCCTGGCTAATTGGGGGTTAGGATGTGGGATGAGTATGGCTCGATCTTTGACCGTCTGTCGGGCGATTCAGCAGTACGCTGCATCGTACTTTCGGGCGCCGGCGAGAAGGCCTTCACAGCAGGGCTGGACTTGGAGATGAACATGGAAATGGTAGGGGGACGGGCAAAGGGTGACGATGAAGCTCCGATCGATCCAGCGAGGAAAGCGTGGGCACTCAGGAAACACATTCAAGAGTTTCAAGAAGCGATATCGGCGGCTGAACGATGTGATAAACGTATGTTTGTTGTTGTTTTCCCGCGTTTGTTTTGTTTTTTTCGTGGGGTGGGGTGAATGGGCCAATTGGGTTCGTGTGTTAACCGCCTCGTGTTGTTTCAGCGGTCATCTCCGTGCTTCATGGATTCTCACTGGGCCTCGCCATCGATATCGCCTGCGCGACTGATATCCGTATTTGTGCCAGCTCAACCACATTTGCCGTTAAGGAAGTTGACATTGGGCTCGCTGCTGATATCGGCACGTTGTCGCGTCTCCCGAAGGTTGTGGGGTCGTTGTCGTGGGTCAAGGATGTTACAATGACTGCACGCTTCTTTGGCGCGGAGGAGGCCCTGCGTGTGGGGTTGGTTAGCGCGGTATACGGGAGCAAAAAGGAAGCCTTGGAGGCGGCTATGAGGTTGGGTATTACGTTGGCGGGTAAGAGCCCTGTGGCTGTGCAGAGCACCAAAGCTCTGGTGAATTACAGTGTTGGGAGGAGTGTGCAGGAAGGTTAGTTAAAAGACCAAAGTTCTGTTTTGAGGGTTCCATTTATTGACTTGTATCAGGTTTGCTCTATACACAATCGTGGAATGCGGCGGCGTTGCAGACTCAGGATGTGCCAAATGCAATCAAGGCTACCATGCAGAGGAAGAAGCCTACCTTTTCAAAGTTGTAGAAAAGGAAAAGTTCTCTCCCATACACCCCCTACACCCCTCTCGCCTTCTCAATTGGTCGAATGTCTTTCTCGCCTTTTCTCTTTTGGTTTCACTCTTAACTATCCCTAGTTACGTTTTCTTATCCTGGACTCTTTTTTTTTTTTTTTTTTTTTTCGTTTATTTGCGCTATCATGCTACTAGTATTACTTTTGATGGAGGGAGGAAAGCGTTGCTGTTGTTATTGCTGTTTGTGTATTTCATGAGCGGTGTGAATTGAAATTGTTCTGAGCGTATCTTTTTTGCTGTTTTATGGTAACGATGAATAAATGAATAATGTATCGATGCATGTAGTTGTAGTAATGGTATAAGATACATAACATGGTATGATGTGGTTTGATGTTTATTGAAGCTCCTTCCTTGCTGGTGGTGGGGGCGGTGTGTCAGGTCCCCCCATCCTCGGCCTTCCACAGCTCCTTCCCTTTCAGTAACGGTATAAATGACAACAATCAAATAGTAGCTTTCCTTGGGATCCCATGCGGTAAAGTAAATTGGAAGCTCTCAAGCCTGGAGGAATTGACCCAAGGGCAAAGGAAGGGAAGGGTTAGGAATTGGGTTTTCCTGAGCAACATATCTCTGTCTTTCTAAACTCCTTGACGATATCGTATGTATATGGGACATGACGGCATACACTGCACAGGCCTAGGACGGTAGTCCCGGTACCCTCCGCCGCTGATACTCCATTGTAGTTGATTCTGACCATTTTTAGTTCGACGGCATGGCAGTTTTGGATGTCAAGTTCGGGTGAAAGGTTCGAATTGGCCCTGGTAGGTGTCAAGTCGGACGGCGTTACAGTTTGGTCAGAAATAAAGGTGAAATATCCGTTTTCGATAATGTATGGTGTCTGAAACCATGGGAAAACCTGACATCGGGCAATCCTGACATCGGACAATCCCCTAAAGTGGGAAAACCCGCTTCCCTGCCGGGCAGGGCAAGCTTTGTGTTAGCCGGATGTCTGAACCTGGACGGTGTATCTCAACGGTAACGGCTATAGCTTCTGGAAGCATGTGCGTACTGTACCTGCATAGCATACCCGTGTGCATAATGTTGTCATCTACCGCTCTAAAGAAGAAGAGGTGGTCTTTCCGGCATAGAAATCTTGTTATAACTATGCTTCAGTAGTTTTGAATAGGTTGACAAAGCCTTGCAAGGCATGGTTGGCTCTCAGATAGCAGAACTCACACAAAGCAGTCTTACGCGGTAGAATTTTTATCCGCAATGGCCTTGCTCGAAGCTGCTTGTGTGATTTCCAAACTGTCGGGATCTCACGGGGATCGTATGCTTCAGGCTCACCCGGAGATGCAAGTCGATGATCGAAGATGATGGGCGTCGAGAGGGTGTCCAACGAGGTAGGAGCTCGATAATGACACTCGCCCACATTCCAAATCTTTATTATTCGACAAGGACGTGTCGGACACAACAACTGATATTTGCTGCTGAAGCCCATCATTTCGGTCCCGGGCAAGGATCCAGTAGAATGATATCATTCGTACATATAGTTTTTTCTAAGTTGTGACAAATCATGAACGAGTACATGTAGCTTCTGGCACTGCGGGACCACGTACGTACGCAATACGGATAACATGGCTCAAATCGGACATGCGCGTCGTGGAAAAGCCAAAAGTTGGTCTGATCAGATCCTCATATATTGGACTGAGACTTGTCTCTTCTTCACATCGATACATCATCGTGAGTCTCTTTAATTCTATGTCTCATTGATTGGTTTTGTTCCACTAATTGGATAACCACAGTCATAACATACATGCATACCCGTACCCTATACCGACGTTCATTTGACAGCCCAGAGAGAAAAGAGTCATTTCTTTCTGGCCGGCATACAGCCCCCCCCCCCCCGCGGCTCCTACGACAGCACTAAATGTCCGTCTTGAAGCTTGATTTTTATCATCTGTAGTTTGAGAAATCATCGATTGTTGCCTGGTTCTCAGTGGGTATCCTCAATGATGACTTCAATCTTACATGGATCTCCAATGGTTATGATCAAAGAGGGTATGGCATTGAGGTGGGAGGTTTACCCCCCCGTATTTTCATCACAACACTAACGCAAAGTCGTTTTAGTACCGGCAATTGCTGTCACGAGGTAACAACTACCTCCACCACTATCATTCGATATTTGAACTTTGTGCAACCCCATTGGATTCACGACATCTCACTCGTTACTATCGCCTCGTGACGGAAAAACATGACCGCCTTATGCAGTTGGTTCATTGTTGGTGGCAGGCGTGTAATATTAATCTCAACCCCAGCTACTTCTTTTCTGTCGATAAGAAATCATATGTGAAGTAGATAAGAAGGTTTTTTTAACATTTTTTTTTCTTAGCGGGTTGAGGTAGAGTTAAAGAATGGCACTAAAATGTAACCACGGGCCGGACACGGTTAACCCGTTCTGTGCAACGCCGCACGGACTAAAAGATGAAACGGAAATCAGGTTAGGCTTTCAGTTGGCCAAAGCGTCTATGAGCGTCATCTACTTTATAGCCAAAGGTCTGTCTGCTAGCTAGCTAGGGGTGGGAGATTGGATCCCGGTTTTTCTCGTTAATTTCGGTGAGGTGAGCTATGGGAGTATGAGTAAACAGCGAAAGAAGTCGGCGAATGATTTTAGTAGGCAGAAGAAGAAGGCAGAAAATATAGTGTAATGGGTCAACGAACGAATAAACGGGAACGTCTTATTTTCTTTTGGGCACTAACTACACAAAGAAGTGAATCAGAGATAGGTTTTGAAAATGTTATTGATATGAAACTTAAACATTCGCAAGGACCTCAGAAAGGAAAAGGAAGGAAAGGCACCGGAAAAACTACTTTACGAATCTCACCAACAAAATAGAGCCGCTGACCTTACCTTGCCTCAACATTTGAAATTAGAGCTTTCAGGCCTCACGTGCCCGCAATCAGCGCCTAGGCAAGTTAAGCTGGTTTGTGTATCAATACCGTATGCAAAAAAACGACGAGAATGAGAATCAACCCAACCAATCAATACGAGATCAACTTCCCCACTCTCACCTCCCTCGGCTTCTCTTCATATAGCTCAGAGCCAGAAATAGAATTACTTCCCGATCTTCTCTGAGGAAGTGTCGTCGCAAGCTTCCTACTGCTTGATCTCCAGCTTCCTTCGGGCCGCTCGTGCGAGAATTTACAAGTAGGCCAGTAGTCACATTCGCCGAATCGCAAGAAAAAGGTACAATGCGTTTTGATGTGTTGTGATGGTGTCGGCGAGTCCTGCGAGATGAGTAGGGTTAGAAAGTAGGAGAAGGATGTAGAGTGGGTGGAAGTGAGCAGTTGTATTTGTGAGCTCAACTCACGAAGGAACAGGTTATTATTGGGCTGGCTGCTCTAGTGGGAGTTATGTGCTGCAGGGGGATAGGGTACAGCTCAGAGCAAGAAAAAGAAAAGGAAAGAAAGAGGAATATTAACTAGAAGCCTATGTGTGTTGAGATCGGGCATATAACAATATTCAATATATGTTAGTTGGTAAGTATTCACCTTTTTATCTCTAACTTCATTATTACACTCTTCCTCACTCCCCTCTTCTTTTTCAGCTACGACCTCTTCACCCTCTTCTCTCCTCCATTTACCCCCGATACTCCTGCGCATGCGTGTATCCCTTTCTCTCTCAGGAGTTGACTCGGTGGAAGAGGTGTCAGTAGCTCGTCCCGGTACACTGGTTGAGCCGTCTCTAGTGTCTTTGTGCACTTTCTCCGTGGGAGGGGCGTGAATGTAGAAACAGTTTTTCCCACGCCTGCAGCCAATCCTTCTCTGGAAGTAAGCGCAAGGCCGAGCTTTATGGCGTTCATCGTCTTCTTCATCCTCTTCTTGGAGTATTATGTGTTGTTGAGACGACGATTCCTCGTGTGAATGTGGGTGGGTGTAGAATGGGCCTTTTTTTGAATATTCCTCCGCAGAGGAAGCAGAAGAGAAAGAGGAGTAAGATGATGGAGCAGCTCTAGATTGCATTTCTGCGTCGTCACGAGTACATTCCGACCCTGCAGGGGTAGTGGCAGATTTCTCACAACCCGAAGATTGGATTTCTCTGCCTTGGCCCTGATACTGAACCAACCCACTGGGATTTTGCGGTGTAAATGCTACCGCTGGCGCCGGCGTAGTTTCCAATACCTCTGGTGCAGATCTTGGGTGAGAGATTTCCTGAAGCAGAGATATTATTCCGGGTCCGGTTGGTGGAAGCACCGTGATTGTCGATGGAAGATCAGCTGCTGAAACAAGAGGGAGTACGGTGCCGTTTTTGTGAAGGAGAAGATAAGTGTAGTGAAGTATTTGGGTGTTTTTGGTATTGTTGGAAAGTGACAAGGTATTGGAGGCCATTGTTGGATATTAATCGGCGAGTGACTTATCCGTGTGGATGAGTATTATGAGTAGTAATTGTATATAGAAATATCCTTAAATACTTTAGTGGCAATGGGGGTACCAACCAACTAAGGTAAGATCTTGAGGACCTGAGTGATAATCGTGAGAAAATAGTTTTCCAGAGAAGGCACAGATATATAGGGAAAATAAGTTCGACTCCTAAAGAAAGGAACCCCATCTCTGTTTGCTTTTGAATCATTCAAGCAGATAATATTCATGGGAACGCTAGAGCGATCCTGATTACCTACCGCACAAAGAAGTTGGGTGAGTATGTAATGTTATGTGGTATTAGTGAATACCTAGAGAAAAAAAAATCCATTCCCGAGCTCTAAAGCCCAAGAATTGTAGGATTTATGCTAGTTGCCTTGTTGCCTTGACTGTGTTCGGGCGAGATTGGTTTTAGTTTCTGAGAATAAGAGTGTTTATTTATGTAAAATTATGTAGGTACACATTAATTAGTTGCTGGACGGCCTGAAGCCTAGCTTGGTTTGCTCCTGGGGTTAGTGGTTTTGTGAGGTGTTGGTGATGGTCTGTGATGCGGATATCCGAGATTGATTTTCCGGGCTGCTAAATGCTCGTTGTTGGCCTGGCCTGCCTGCGGCCGGTTTGCAGCAAGCAAGCAAGCAAGCATGTCAACGGATCAAACAAAAATGGGTGTCTGAGTGGCTGGTGATCATCAGAATCCCCGTCCATCCATACCATCCATCTCTCCATGGCCGGCCTATCCCTCCCCTCCCTTAATCAAATCAAGCATCAAATAAACTAAAAAAATTCAACTCACACTTTTGTCCCATAACTTTTTTTTTCCACAACCTTTGACTAGGAGGCTTTTACTGAGACTGGCTTTTGGCCCTCCATCCCTCCCTCCTCTCCTTTGGTGGAGCTGGCTGGTACTGTCAGTAGATAGACCACCTCATGTGGGCAGTCCTGCAGAGAGCACCCCCAGTTTCCAAAATCCATACGTGGTAATGTTAGGTACATGTAGCTTTTCCGGTGGCATAATTTCCAGGTATCCAACTCACCGCCCCCCCCACCTTTCTCTCTCCCCAGAATCCCAAACCAAACGATGTGACCACAATGTCTCTTCCCGCGTGTGTGAAGTGAGTGGGAAAGTGCAAGTGTGCAAGTAATGTGAAAGTGAACACTAGTGACTCAGTCTTTCCAGACTGTCGGGAACATCGCCCAGAAAACCGTGGCGGCAGCAAGTCGCACAGCTCTCCCTGCCTCTTCCTGGCATTCTCTGGCTTTCTTTCATCTGGAGGAATTGTAATAAAGGAGGCTAAAATCCCTCTTTTTCTCCCCTTTCTTCTTGACCTTGACACATTGGTATAACAATTCTCGCGATCTCTTTTATATCCCCTCGTCTGTAGCTCATACCCCCACCCCCTTCTCATCTTGCCAGTAATATCAGTATATACCACCCCACAAGCAGTAGCGAAGGCAAATTCCTTATAAACATGGCCCCGCGTAGCGCCCTCCTCATCCTAGGGATCCAGAATGAATTTCTCGATCCTGATATCGGCCGTTGCATCATGGCCGCTCCCCCTCGCGGGAGCCCGTCCTTCGTCGATAACATCAAGGCCTTCGTCCCGCACTTTCGCGCAAACGGTGGCGACGTCATCTGGGTGCGGAGCGAGTACCAAAAACCACGTGATTTTATCGACCCTCGCAGCAACGAGACCGTGCTCATAATACATGACGACGACGACTCGTCCGACTCTGAGACGGAGCACAACAACCGCAAACCTAGAGGCAATGAGGCTGGTGGAGGAGCGGGAGCAGGAACAGCAGGGACAGCAGGGACAGCAGGAATAGCAGGAGGCAGAAGACCTCGCGCTGGTTCAAGCCCTAGACCGAGGCTTGCGAATGGCGCAAGACCTCCGCTACGCTCCGACGCGTTCCTGGCGATTGAGAGCCAGCATCCGCCGTGTAAGCCGGGGACTCCTGCGTGCGAGTTTCACCCGTCAATTGTTTCGTCGATCAAATCGCCGCCTGATAAGATCCTGGTGAAGACGTGGTTCTCGGCCTTCAAGGATACAGGCCTTCTTGAGACGCTGAGAGGAAGGTTCGTCTCGGAGCTGTACATATGTGGAGTTCTCACCAATATATGTGTCCTTGCAACGGCAGCCGAAGCAGCTAAGCATGGGTTGAATACTTATGTGTTGCAGGACTGTTTAGGATACAGGAATCTAACAGCTCACCAGGAGTCATTGAAGGTCATGGTTCAAGATTACGTGGTGGAGGAGGTTACGAGTGGATCATTGGTGAAGAACTGGGAGAGACGGAGGTTGAAGGCTGGGGGTAATGGTGGTAATAACGATAACGGATCAGCCGGTATTCAATTGGGGGCCACGAGCCTTTCGAAGGAACAGTTGGTTGCGATGGTGTCTGGGCTGAAGGTGGTAGGAGGTGAGAGCAGTGGTGAGAGTACTAAGAAATCACCTGCAGAACCTGTCAAGGAAGTGATGGCGGAAACTGCGGCTACCCCGCTAGACGACGACAAATCTGTCCTCCCAGCTGATCTAGCGCCGATCAATGAAGAAGATTATGAGATCTTGAAGTCAGCAAGGAGCGCCTACAAGGCGAAGGCAGTAATGGGGGGTACTGGTGTAAATGAGGTATCCGCAGCAGGCGCAGGCAAGAATGATAACGAGCCCGGCGATGAGGGGAGGAAAAAGGATGAAAAGGTGTATAAACATAGAAAGAAAAAGTCACACGCAAGCAGCTCGAAACGCGACAAGTCAAACACAATCTCTCAAGGTAGCAGCAGTTCTTCCGGAAACCCAAGGTTCGATTCAAAATCTCCGATCTTGGGAGAATGGGATTTTCTTGGTGAGGGCGATTCAAATCTAGTCAATAATATCCTGCCTCCGGCCCTATCTAAAACGGCGTTCGATAGGCTGAAGAAAGAGGTAGCCTGGAGGACCATGTACCATCGTGGTGGCGAGGTTCCAAGAATGGTCGCAGTGGAAGGGGTAATTGATGATGATGGTGATGAGAGAAGGTATGCTTGAGATCAGTAATCGACTTCTTTTTCGCAACTAACTCCGTTTCAAAGTTTCCCGATATATCGCCATCCGGCTGATGAGTCGCCTCCTCTTCTACCATTCTCCCCAACGGTACAGCGCATCGTGGAGTGCGTCCAAAAGGTCCTAAAACACCCAGTTAATCACGTCCTGATCCAACACTACCGTGACGGCAATGATTACATCTCTGAACACTCTGATAAGACCCTCGATATTGTGCGAGGATCTAAAATCGTAAATGTCAGCCTGGGCGCTCAGCGAACCATGGTTCTCCGAACAAAAAAGGATGCCGCAAAGCAAAAAGCTGCCGAATCAACATCCCAAGAGCAGTCAAACCGGCCAGAAGACCATGGTCCGGAACGAACGACCCAACGTATACCACTTCCTCATAACTCGATGTTTGTCCTAGGCCTTGAAACAAACAAAAGGTGGCTTCATGGAATTCGACAAGACCGCCGTGAGAAAGGCCTCAAGACCGCCCAGGAAATGTCACACAACGGCGAAAGGATCTCCTTAACCTTCCGCCATATTGGGACTTTCCTTTCAGACAAAGAAAAAGAAATATGGGGCCAAGGTGCCGTCTCCAAATCCAAGGCCGAGCGACGGCCTGTTGTCAACGGCGACGATCCAGAAACTCAAAGGCTGATTGAAGCCTTTGGCTCTGAAAACCATCAAAGTGACTTTGACTGGGACGCAGCCTATGGCGGCGGCTTTGACGTCTTACATTTCGTCCCACAGCTACCAAAACTCTTTTTTACAAAAGGTGATATCGGCAGCATGCAAGTCCGCATGTGCCTATTGGAGAAAGGAATTGTGTTCACTCCTTATGAACTGGAGCCCAATGAAACAAGCTCACCTTCCTTCCGCGTTTTGAGCCCTCGAGGCACCACTCCAGTGTTTGTGGATGTTGACCCCGAGAAAACAATGGTTTGTGAGGCAGTTTCAATCCTTCAACACATTGAAATGTTCTATCCCTCCAAAGACCCTGAGAAATTCCTGCTGCCGTCCCCCACAGATGAAAGGGCCGCTTTTTCGAGGGTTCTACAACACATGCAGGAAAGTGAAAAACTACACAAAGTATTGGAAAGTGACAACCAGGCGGCGATCGATGCCGAGCTGGAGATTTGGGACGCGCGCTTATTTAGGACGAAAGGGTATCTATCGGGATCTGATATTAGTCTTGACGATATCGCTGTGTGGCCAGTCCTGGAGAACTATATGAAGCGAACTGGGTTAGAGCATCTGATGAAGTTTAGTGAATTGGATACGTGGTACAGACTCGTTAAGGAATGCGACAGTGTCCAGGTTTTATCTAAAGAGGTGGTTAGAGATGCGGAATCAGAAACAGATGGGTTAGAAAACATTATGGCAAGCCTAAAGTTGGAGTCAGAGGTGAAGGAGACTTAAAACATGGGAGCAAACGGTAATGATTATGATTTGTTTGATATCATATACTGTAATTTCTTAATATTCTTACTGGCTTTGGGAATAATTTGGTGAATTGGATCGACTTAGGGGGATAAACTATACATATATTAGTAGCCGTTATTATTACTTCAACAGAAAAGTCTTTGTATTTTCGGTAAAGATTATTCAACCGTTAGCTCTTTTTGGTTGGGGGGCGTTGCTTAGCTATTTCTTGGCTCTTACAACTTTAGATCTTTTTAATAATAATTCTGTATCTTCTTTAAGTCGGTAGTCCTGCTTGTCCAATTCGGTTGGGATTAATCTCTCCTTAGATTGGTTATGTGGTAAGGTAATAGCCGAAAATGGTGGGCACGCCGCCAATCACTCCCGTGGGAGGACGCTGGTAATCGGGTCATGAAATATCACTCGTGACAACATGTGACCATATTAGACTCAAAGCTCAGCGGGAAAGAGTTTCCAAAACAAAAGAGGCACATAAATCTCCAGAAAACCCCCTTTTTATCCGGCCCTTGATGTAACTTCCGAAGACAGGAGGGCTCGAAGAAATAGATGGCTTGCGCTACAAGGGTTGAGGAAAGACCGAGCTTTAATTAGTGGTGACAATTGAGCGTTGAGGGAGAGATATAAGGACGAGGGGGGCCCCCAAGAAGGTGCATACTTCGCAGAAGTTAAAGGATATTTTTCATCGGTCCTCGGCGCAGAAGAACCCAAAGACCTATGAAAGAGGGAATGGCAAATGCCCAACCTTGACTCCGAAGAGTCGAAAAGAACCAGATTCAAAAGGGTCCCATCATCTTTAAAAGAGGAGCAAGCGGGTAGCCGGAGGTTTGCCTCGACCGTTGAGCTGCTAACATAGTTACCTTGGGGTATAGAGATATAAGCGTCCTAGATACAACAACCAGATCCCCAGTCAGTGTATGATAGATAATAAATGAGGAGAGGTGGTGGGTGGGTTATATTCTTCACAGGGATTGCGAGTGTAGCCCCGCCCCACAGTGTGAAGTCCTATCTGGTTTTTTTTTTTTTTTTTTTTTTTTTTTTTTTTTGGGGGGGGGGGGGGGGGTGTAAGGGAATAAATGGGGCCGATCATGGGGGAAATATACACCTGCGATGCAGCATTTGGGGTGCACATACACTGCACGGAGTAGAGTGGTAAGCGAACAACAATCTCTTAAAATTCCTTTCGACATTCCTGCTATTCACTAGCAAGTACATTAGTCTCGTGACTATCCCCTGCGGGTAGCTCGCCGGAGGCTAGTGTTGGGATCAAGACTACATGTACGTACCTGACGTCACTAGCGAGGGAGGCCTGCTATTGTGTGTCGCTGCCAGTCTCATACACCCTCAGACAAAATTTGCAAACACAACACACACAGCACACACGAGTCCAGCAAATTGCACGCATCACTTGGCTACCACCCGCATCTCTGAACACTGCTAGATGGAATCACATCCCGTTGACAACAGTACCTATATCCGGCATACTACGACCTTTTGTCACATTCTAGCTATTTACAACGTTATTCGCCGCCATAGGCCGCCGGTGGGTTCATCCATCACTTTGACCGGATACCGTTTTCTACGTTAACTGTCCGAGTAAGTGGGGCGTCCGAGTAGCCAGGGAAGTTGTCTACGCCCCATAATATCTAATCTACATCTCATCGGCTATCACCTTATAGCCCAAAGGGCCTACCAGCGGCTAGGGCTGAAATATGATAAGACCATCACGGGCCAATCAAGTCAGCCTTGGGCGAATAAATATATCTAGTATTTATTACGGTCAAAGAGATAGTGTTCCTCGTCGTGGCTGAGAAACATTCGCCTTATTTCTAATGATAATTCGTATCTCTAACCCTCGGCGGAGAACTCGAAAAATTGGAAAGATTTGGGTTTGACAGTGCAGTGACGACAGGAACTAATACTACTCGAGCCATGAATTCAAGCGTTGGGTTCAAACATACCAGATAAAGAACGGACTACTCTTTATGGACAGCTCTATCTCCGGGCACAATTTGTGCATATCACAGATTATAAAAATTGACTCCTTTTACAAGACTCAACACAAAGTCCAACAGGTCACAAGGGCACCGGAGTCCATGATCACACGAAGAGAGCCTGGCAGCATCGCCACCAGGAATACGTAAAAAAAGGCTCATTAGGGGTATATACATGTAGATCACCTCTGCTTTATACAGCAACCTAAGCGATCATGCAGCTGGGCGTTGCCATTTCGCTGACGCTAAGGCTCATGGTTCGTCACTCGTCAACGGCAGGCGCATAGAGGATCTGTTGACCCCCCGCGGGGTGCTTCTGCAAATCCATTACATCATTTCAAGAATTATATAACAGACTAAATATTATGAAACCACCCCCGATAAAGTCGGAAAAATTTTCCCTTCTCGATTCCAAGAAATGGATATGGGATCGCACAGAGCAAATTTTGGAAAACGAACTTCTCTTGAGTGCTAGTACAAAGCTTTGAACTTGATCCTTCCCACTCAAGAGCCCGGATCTATTCCTTAAGCTGTCACAAAATGCTGACCCTTTTTGCGAGGGCTAAGAACGGTAAATCCAAGTATGCGGTTGGTGAGCTATTGACCCATGATAAGGAAATCAGGAATCGTTGGCAAAGTCAAGTCATTTTTCAGGAGGGGGTCCAGGTTAAAAGCGGCATGAAACTCTCAGAGCTATCACTAGCGAGATGCGTATTTTAAATTCCTTTTCATAGGCTCACAGAGTAATTACTGGGAGGGTCACATGTGATGAGGGTATCACCCTATATCGGTTCACAAGGTGTAAGCACCCAATCTAGATCTCTCAGGGCTAAAGTGCTAGAGCTTGTGCAACTGGATTTCGATAGGTTTATGCAAGACTTGTACTTTCCGGGAGGATAGGTTTTGGTCAAAGTTGTGTGAAAAAGCGCAAAACTGGTGGCGGAAACTTATTCTCGCGGTATCTCAATTCTAATATTTTCATGGGACATCACTCGCTACCGCGGATCCGCACTCCGTCACAGGAAATCACTCGGTCAATCAAACGCCCTCAGTGTTCTCAAAAACATTGTATTAATAATTATAAATCCAAGTCTCTCACTCCAAACGACCCCGAGAAAGAATCAAAATGTACTCCTGAAGAGAAAAACCCAACAACCACCAAAATACATTGGTATGCGATCGCGAAGAGAAGAAGAGGAACGCCGCTCATCCCTTAATGATATCCACCGCCAAAGCTCTAGATGAGGGACGCAAGAGCGATACAACCAAGGTTTATCAAACCGTTCTATATGAAGTCAGTATATTGAGCAAAAATAGAAGTATAAGAACTGGGAGCGAGTATACCTGAGTTGTATCTCCCTGACAACAAGCAGCCTTGGCATCACACGCCTTGTTAACAGGTACCTGGACTAAATTCGAACACAATATTAGTACCACACAAAAGCTTCCCTATACTGTCAAAGAGGTACTCACGGGCAGCAATTGGCAAGTTAATTGGAGTGCACTGCAAGCCGATATCCCCACTCCCAAACACAGATCCCAGCAACCCAGCATTCTTCGTGTCGCCCTGCTTCTCAATCTTGTTGCAACAGTTCAACTGTGCATTACCGCATGTCTGCACTCCTTGCTCGACCGTGTAGTCGCCTCTAACAGTTCCCTTGTTTGCCGCGCTATTGCCCGCATTCTGGCCCGCGTTGCCGACATCTTGGTTTCCGGACCCGTCATTACCAGAGGCAGTGACTGCGGGAGCCGGCTCAGCTTTTGCGGGTGGTGACAGAAGAGGGGAAGCCGTGGCTGTGAGGGCCAGGAGGAAAAATGAGAGGATGGTGCTGGCGTGCATTATTGGAGTGGTTTGAGGGGGGTTTTCTTAGGTAGTGGGATAGTGAGATAGTATGGAAAAAAAATGGTCAAATGAGTGTGGGGTGTTTTTTGCGAGCTTGAGAAGAACGAATGGATGATGAGTGTGAGAAAAAGGTGAGAGGTAGAGGGGGCATTTTATGGGGATTTTTTTGAAGGTGAGGAGTTTGTTTAATTTGTATTCCTTGCTTCATATGTTTTTGATGGGATCAAAGGGGGGTATGTATTTGAAATTACCTGGGTTTCAATTCTTCATCTTGGACGCACGTTCTTTGGAGAACAATCTTGGCTGCGGCATGTGGATAGATACATCTTATCTCTGACTCTATACAGTCGTGCTATTGTGAAATTTTAAACCATCAATGGCGCAGTTGTAGTTGTTTTAGGGGATCTACAGATTCCTAAGTATCCCCACGCACCCACGTCCCTTGAAGGGCATTTCTCAACAAATTTCGCTGGTAATCTCCTGGTATTTAGGTGTTTGGCTGTACTAAAATGACACAAACAATCACAACATCATCAGAGTTAGGCACGTTATAGATAAAAGAGATAAATTGCGTCTGCTGTTTATGTAATTACATAACCATCCTACGTACCAAAACCACTCGACAAATAGGGAAAATCAAAAAGAAAAAACGAGAGCAAAAAAAATAACTAAGCAATGCAATCTAACTCCCCGAAACCCAGACTCGAAACCCAAATCAGCTTTAAAGGACAGAAAGAAATAGTTAAACCACTCCCAGACATAGTAAAAAACAAAAGAGAGAGAGGAGCACTACGTTTTATTTTTAAAGAATAACCTCAGCCTGGAGGGGTGTAGTAGTGAATCAAATCCCAGCGGATAATAATGACAGCAAACAGGAATCGACCTTAAACACTATAGCGCAAGATATGTAACTCTCCATGGGAGATGTGCCAGTTACATGAAATTATATGATAAGCCAGAGGTTTTCAACAGGCGGCACTATGCAGAGAAAGAAAGAGAAAGGCGAGAATATTTATAAGAATCAACTCCGCTAAAAGCCTGTCCACCTGTGATGAAGTAGAGGAAAAATAAACCTGGAACCCATTACATGTAAACTAACACGTACAGATGCTTCGAACCCCGAATGAGAAGTGATTATCGTC